GCACCTGACCTTGGCTGGGAACTAGCGCCTGGACAGCGGAACTGAGGAGCTTCCCTGCCCACCCCTTTGGGCGGCCAGCCGGCTTTCCACTCCCTCTGCTGACTAAGAAAAGGAAACTTTGTGTCTGCGGTAGATGGTGGTGAGAACAGGCGCAGAACAAACGCAAGAGGCACACGCAAGCACCCAACATCCATAGACACTCACAGGTCCACTAGCACACGGGTACAGGCATGGGCAGACAGGCACGAGCGACAGTTAAACATGCAGACTTAAGACTTAGTCCTCCTTACATCCTGTCACCCAGGGCGTGTGTGTGTGTGTGTGTGTGTGTGTGTGTGTGTGTGTGTGTGTATCTGCCTGTGTTCCCACCATCATCACACTGGGGAGGAGAGGCAAGACACTCAAAAACAGTTATTCATGACACGTACATTAACTCACCCTCAGAAGCACCCGTGCTCACATTTCTGCATACACAGCCAGAAACACTCATAAGTACACAAATGTATACACATAAATTCATTCACTCATTCGACAAGCATTTATAGAGCACCTACTGGGTGCCAGGCCATCTTAGACATAGGCGATACAGCAGGGGGACAAGGCAGACAGAAACCCCTGCCCGTGTTGCTGACATGCTAGTGGAGTTGACATTGTGATGAGAATAGCCAAAGGGAAAATAATAAAGCAGAAAAAAGGCTAGATATGGAGGGAGGTTCCAAATTTATTTCTTTTTAAAATTTTTAATATGTTCCCATTCATTTCAGAGAAAGGAAGGGAGAGGGACAGAGACAGAAACATCAATGATGAGAGGGAATTCAACCCACTGCCTCCCAAATGCCCCCCACTGAGGACCAAACCTTGACCTCCTGGTTTAATCCCTGAACCACACAGGCCATGCAGTCCTGATTTTAAACAAGGTGGTCAGGAACAGAAGGGCTGAGAAGGTGGGATCTGAGTAACAATGTGAAGGGGTGGGGAGTGAGCCACTTGGATGTCAGTGGGAACACTGTTCCAAAAAGAAGGAACAGGAGGACAAAGTTCCCGAATTGGGAAAGTGCTTGATGTGTGCTTCCCAGAAACACCCGGAGAGTGAGGTGTGAGTGAGTGAGGGGGGTGGACTTGGTAGGAACCGAGCTTATAAACAAACTAGAGGCCCAGTACACAAAATTCATGCACGGGACCAGGGGGCACGGGGGGAGGTGGGGGCAGGTCCCTCAGCCCAGCCTGAGCCCTCTTGCAATCCGAACTTCTCAGGGGATGTCTGACTGCCGGTTTAGGCCTGATCCCTGCAGTCGGACATCTGGCAGTCGGACATCCCTCTCGCAATCCAGGACTGCTCGCCCCTGACCACTCGCCCCTAACTGCTCACCTGCCTGCCTGCCTGCCTGTTGCCCCTAACCACTGGTCTGCCTGTCTATTTGCCCTTAACCTCTCGCCTGCCTGCCTGCTTGGTGCATGTCAGAGCAACTGGTCGTTCTACCCTGATGGTCACTTAGGCTTTTATGTATATAGATAAATACCTCTACATTTATACACACCCATGAGAGCCTGTTTCTTAGGTGTGTGCTTATTAGATGCATATGCCTCTATGTGTGTCTGTGTTTCAGCACCTAGGTGAGTGTGTGTGTCTGTCGGTGTGTCCAGCTATGAGTATGTGTGTTTCCGTATGTGAGTGTGTTTCTTTCTGTGTTCATGGGTATAACTGTGGGTATTGGTGTAGGTGACTTGTGTATAATTATGAGTATGTGTTTCTATGTGTGCCTTTGTATAACTCTGTATCTGTGTGTCTTGCTGTGTGAATGTGTTTCTAAGTGTGCTTATGTGTATGTGTGAGTACAATATGTATCTCTATCTGTGCATAAGTGTGTGTACAAGAGTGTGCGTGTCTCTATGTGTGTGTATGTGTTTCTGTGTATGTATGTGAGTCTATCCATGTGTGTGCCTGTGTCAGCATATATGTGTGTCTATGTGGTGGGGCATTAGGGGTGAGGCCCCCAGACCTGTCCCAGTGTTTGGGATGGAGGCCTGTGTTCCCTTCCCATAGTCTCCTTCTAAGCAGGTGCCCCTATAGGCTAGACTGGCCCTGTCAGGTGGGGCATGGTAGGGGCACCTCTCTGACACTGAGCCCCACCCTCATATGCCTTCCCAGGCCTGAACAAGACGTCTTCTTTCTCCTGTGAAGCCCATAATGCCAAGGGGGTCACCACATCCCGCACGGCCATCATCACAGGTAACAGAAGAGGGATCTGGGAAGTTGGGTGTCAGATGGTGTGGGACTGGGGTCAAAGGCCAGAGCTGGGGTAGAAGGCAGGGTGAGGGGCTTTGGGCAAAGGCCTCCCAGGTCATTCCTTCCTCTCATCTCCACAGTGCTTCCCCAGCGGCCCCATGACCTCCACTTGGTTTCCAGTCTGCCCACAAAGCTGGAGGCGGTTTGGACACCAGGCCTGAGTGGTATCTATCCCCTCACCCACTGCACCCTGCAGGTGAGACTCAGACTTTACTAACCTCAGGCTCCCCTCCAACCACACCCACAAGCCCTCAGCATCTCCCTGGATAACCAGCCCTCCCCAGCTTTTGTGTGTTGAGAGGCAGTAGAGCCTCGGGTTAAGGCTGCTGTCTTGGGTTCAAATCCTGGCTCCACTAGCTGATGGCTGCATGAGCTCAGGTAGGTGACTGTGTCTCAGTTCTCTCATCTATAAAATGGGCATAATGGTAGTACTACTGGAAAGGCTTGCTGTGGGAATTCAATAAGTAAATGCAAATGGAAATGTATAATAAACTATTAGCTGTTTTCAGTGGGGTTTTATTTATATCAGTGATATTGACTGTAGTCAGAATGGGAACCCTGAGACAGCCATCTTGGTCACCACTGGCTACCCCCAACCCTGCTTCTCACACCTCAGCCCTGACCACTCTGGGTTGTTACTGTCTGGGCGTGAGTCTGTCTCCCCACTGGACTGAGCTCTGGGAGGGCACAGCCAGGATGTCTCAGTCACCACTCAGTCCTCATTATTGCCTGGCTCAGGGCCAGTCAGAAGAAGACTACCTGACAGCTGAGAAGGGCCAGACCAGCCTTTTGCACCCAAGTTGCTCCTCCTCTAGTGTAAGAAAAACAAACACACAGACATGTGAATACAAGATCCAGTTCTGGCCTGAAGATCTCTGTGATTCGGAAGTTGGTAGGGCATTGCCCATGATAGGAGATGATAATTAATAATGGCCAACTTTCATGAGTGCCAACTATGTGTTGGGCCTTGTGTTACAGTGCCAACTATGTGTTGGGCCTATGTGTTACCCTTGTGTGTTTGTGAAATGTGGTCTGTGTTTACAACCTTTTTTCAAATGAAGGAACTAAAGCTCAGAGTAGTTAAGAAACTTGCCCAAGGTGACAGCCAGGAAGTGGAGAGGTGGGATTCGAACCCTTGTCTCACCAAACCCAAAGGATACTCCTTACTGCCTTAGAGACCCTTTCGAGCCAGTACTTGATTAAACAGCAGCTGTCTTTCTTACAATTATGTGCCTTGGACACAACCTGATTCACTTGTCATTTTAACCTTAAAAGTAGTGGTTGTCAATCTTCCCATTTTCTATTTTTTTTAAATATTTTATTGAATTTTTACAGAGAGGAAGGGAGAGAGATAGAGAGTTAGAAACATCGATGAGAGAGAAACATCGATCAGCTGCCTCCTGCACATCTCCCACTGGGGATGTGCCCGCAACCCAGGTACATGCCCTTGACCGGGATCGAACCTGGGACCTTTCAGTCCGCAGGCCGACGCTCTATCCACTGAGCCAAACCGGTTTTGGCAATCTTCCCATTTTCAAGGTAAGGAACTGAGGCCCAGGGAGAAGAAATGACCAGTCCTCCCCAATGCCTAAAGAGGATGAAATTGATTCAATCCCAGAGGCCAGGCCAATTTGGGAGAGCTCAGATGCCAGGTCAGGTGTCAGCTGTACCCCCACCCCACACCCATCCAGTGTCCGCAGGAAAGCAGAAGTGTGTCCTCTTCCCTCTGCAGGTCTCACTTCCTGCTGTGCATAGGCTGGGGCTGAAGGGTTCGAATGGGAGGGTCACAGCCATCCCAGGGAAAAGAGAAGTGGGAGTGGGCATGGGAGGCTGAGTGCTGCATCCTTGTCCCCTTTGTCCCAGCAGAGGTTCCTCTTCCTGGCTGTCACTGTGGGCCAAAGAGCAGGCAAGGGGACAGCCTCCCCTCATCCTGCTACCCACCCTTTGCCCACCTCCTCCCCAGGCCTCTGGGTGGTATTATCTCCACATGTGGGAGCCCTGTGACTTTGAGCAAGTGTCTGAACCTCTCTGGGCTTCTGCTTCCTCATCTGTAATATAGGAATGAAAAAAGAAATTGACCCCATAGAGTGGTGGTAAGAAGTCACTGAGTTCACCCAAACATGCACTTGACAGGGTGCTTGACACATAGTTAACACTCAAGAAATGTTAGCTGTTGGTGTGATGTTCAAACCAGTTTATTCTGGTGTACAGGTGTATTCCCTAGCTGTACCCCTGCCATCCTGACCTGGCCATTCCTGGGGGGCAGGTGGGTGTGCCAGCCTATGCCGATGTGCAAGGTGTGTGGAATTGGACACTTGTTGTCAAGGCAACCTCACACACACACAATACTAATAACGGCAAACACTCAATACATACGGGCACTCTTCTAAATGCTTAGGAGCATCATTTCAGTCAACCCTTCGAAGTAGGGAGACATTATACCCCATTTTACAGATGAGAAAACTGAGGTTCAGTGAGAGAACGTCTTGCCAGAGGTACCTTTAGCAAGTGATGACAGAATCATATTGTGCAGCTGGATGGTCTCCTCGCTTTGCAAGTGCAGGTGCCCATGGAACACTAGAATGAAGCTATCACACACACACACATCCTTTCAAAGTTGTGTAATCACAAGGACCACCACCGAGCATTGTCTGACTGCTCATATGATTGCATGGCCATCCCGTCCTCACACCCCTTTTCTGTCCCCAGGCTGTGCTGTCAGATGATGGGGTTGACATCAGGCTGGGAGAGCCAGATCCCCCGGAGGAGCCCCTCACCATGCAAGTATCCGTTCCCCCTCACCAACTACAGCTGGACAGCCTCCGTCCTCACAGTCCTTATCACATCAGGGTGGCATGTGCCAGTAGCCAGGGCCCCTCACCCTGGACCCACTGGCTTCCCGTGGAGACGCCTGAGGGAGGTAAGAAGGGGCTGGTGGGGGAGTTGTTGCCCTTTTCCCCCTGGACCTTGCTCACATCAGTGCCACCCTCAGCATCTCCTCTCACCCATTTACCCCATGTGGCCTCCATCTCCTTCCTGTTCGGTCCCCACTCCTCAGCACAGCACTGGCACCTCTCCCGGACCTCTTCCCTATGCTTCCGCTCCTGGGAGGCCTGCATGAGTTGCCCATGCGCATGCTCTTTGCACCCTGTCTTCACTTCCTGGGGTCAGGGAGAAGTCAGGAAGAGGTAGGGGTGCCAGCTTCCCCTCTTCCCTGTCCTCCAGTGCCTCTGGGCCCCCCTAAGAACATTACCGCCATACGGAATGGGAGCCAAGCCATCGTGCGTTGGCAGAAGCCAATGGCACCCCTGCAGGGCACTCTGTTAGGGTACCGGCTGGCCTATCGAGGCCAGGACACTCCTGAGGTGGGTGCTGCTGGCTGGGGTTGGGTAGAGGAGCTGAGAAGGAGGGAAATGGGGAGGAGAAGATGACAGGGCAGATATGGACAGTTAGTTGTACAGGTTGGGTAGTGCAGAGGAGAGCACATTGTGGGAAGGTTAAAGGGGTCCAGGGGAAGGGGAGGGAATGGCTATTTATGAATCATTATAAGTAGAGTTTCAGTGGGCATGTTTCCTTGGTCATTCATCCCAGGAGCCTCCATGTTTTACCATGACGATGTTACAGCAGATATTTGTATAGCATCTTGAGGAAGGGATGCCTTTTCTAATTTGCACAAAGTTATTATCTGTGCAAACAGCATCCCTGGGGTGGAGAAGTAGGGTGGGAAAAAGGGTGAGATTTAGAAGGGGATGGAGAGATGAGAGTGAAAGATGAGAATTCAGTTTTCAGCATAAGTACTGTGTGCCATGCACTGTTGTAGGACTTGCAGACATGGCAGTGATTGAGACCAAGTCCTGCCCTAGTCCTGTCCTAGTGGAACTGATATTTTAGTGGGCACGGGGATGGTGATAAAAGGAGTGGGGATGAAAAGGTAGGAAGAAGAAGGTAAGAAGGTATTGGAGATGAGAAGGTTTCCAGAAGGTTGGGGAGTTGAGGCCTAAGCATTAAGAACCTGGGGTTCTACCCTGATGCTAAGTCTGGATGTCCTAGGTGCTAATGGACATAGGACTAAAGCAAGAGGTGACCCTGGAGCTGCGGGAGGACAGGACTGTGCCCAACCTGACGGTGTGTGTGGCAGCCTACACCGCCTCTGGGGATGGACCCTGGAGCCTCCCCGTGCCCCTAGAGCCTTGGCGCCCAGGTAACTCCAAAGTCATGTCAGCTCCCTTCAAAGTACCCAGAAGAACCTTATCTCCTCAAGATGCTCCTGACTTGCCCTCTGCAACTTTCAGTATTGCCCCAATCTAGGCTCTGTTCCTGTCAGAATCTTACTGAGCCTCACACCTCACCTGCGTCACACCAGTCTTGCCCTCCTTGAGCATGTCCTCCCTCTGTCCTTTCTCCTCACAGGGCAAAGACAGCCAGTGCACCAGCTGGGTAAGGGCTTTGGCATCCCCTCACCTCCCTCCCTTCCCAGTGAGGACCCTATCACCACACTCAAATGCTTTACACATCCCTTTCATGTTTCTCAGACTCATCACTCTAATCCTCTATTTCTTGTTTTTATGTGGTCCTTAATGGAGGTGCCTGGAATAGCCCAGCATATTGTAGGTACTCAGTGAATGGTAGATGGGTGGATGGATGGATGGATAGATAGGTGGATGAATGGGGTGGGTGGAAGGAAGGAAAGAAGGATGGATGGATGGATGGATGGATGGATGGATGGATGGATGGATGGAACAGTGGATGAGTTATCCCCTTCACATTCATCCTTCTCAAATGTTTCTTAACAATACTCAAACATTCCTCCTACTCCCTTTGTATCCTCCTAGCACCATTCCATTCCACCTCTTATAACTCATTCCACTATCCTTAAATATTTTTCACATCTTCCTGCACTTCTTTGCATACCCTTTCCACACCAACCCACCCTCTTTTCATGTTCATCCCATTATAATTCTTCATACTTTACACATGCCTCCAAAACCTAATACTTCTCACACCTCTCATTCACAAACTCTGTGCACACTTTTTACACACACACCATACATTCCACATTGCAAACACTGAAAAACTTTCAGTCCACACTATCCCACACTCTACAACTCTCCTTGTAAACTCATCCAATACTCCTTCCATGTTACTCCCTCACTGCTAGGTAATCCTAACCCATCCCCATTCTCTGCACACACCCACACAAACTCCTGGCACACTTAGCACATTCCCATTCTCTATTTCTTATTCACCCACTCCCACCCTATTTGCACACCCTTTTTATTCATCCCTGGCTCATCTGTCCTTTCCACACATTTTACATGCTCATTGCACACTCTTCTCACACCAAAGTTAATTCTTACAAATCACTGTTCACTCCTTGAATCTAAAACTCCTTGAATACTCCTCACTCACACACCCCCAATTCCTTCAACATCCATCCACACCCTGTACACATTCCTTTGCACACTACACCCCTTTGCACATTTACTTCACTCTCATCCTCGCTTAGTGAAAACCCTTCCACAGTCATCACACAATCCTCAAAAGTATTCTTTGGTCATTTATCCCAGGAGCCTCACTGTTCTTGCATACTTATTGCACATGCCTCATATACCCATCCTACACTACATGCACTCTCTCCCCTACTCGCCTGTTTTTCCACACCCAAGTTCCCCTTCTTGCACAATTATCACATATATCACACACCCCTCTCCTAGCAATTTACTCACACCCATCTCATATTCATCAGCCCTCCTTGCATTATTTTTGTTGTGCTGTTATTCCTCACCTGAGGATATTTTCCCCATTGATTTTTAGAGAGAGAAGGGAGGGAGGGGGAAGAGAGAGAGAAACATTGATGTGAGAGAGACACATCGACTGGTTGCTTTCCGCACGCACCCTGACCTGGGCCAGGTATCAAGCCTGTAACCTAGATATGTGCTCTTGACCAAGAATTGAACCTGTGACACTTCGGTCCACAGGCTAATACTTTAACCACTTAGCAACACTGACCAGGGCCCTCCTTCCATTATTATAACCCATCCCACACTCCTTTCACACTCATCACACACTCCTCAACTGTCCTCAACTGTCCTTCCCACTCTTAAGTCACCTCAGCCACTCTACAAGTCTCATGCTCCTACTTTAACACTCACTCATATCACATTCATTGCATGCCTTGCCCAGCCCAGCCCAGTTTCCTCATATATGTGAATGCACCTATGATAGGCCTAATCAAATATATCCACATCTGCTCCCTCCAACATCACCCCCTTGGGTCTCAGGGAGATGGACACAGGGCCTTAGCCATGACCTGTCCCCCATGCCCTGACAGTGAGTGAACCTCCAGCCCCCTCCTTCTCATGGCCCTGGTGGTATGTACTGCTGGGAGCAGTTGTGGCCGCTGCCTGTGTCTTCATCTTGGCCCTGTTCCTCATCCATCGGCGGAAGAAGGAGACCCGCTATGGGTGAGTTGGAACTCTGTGAATAGGGAGGCTCACATAGACTAGAACGGAGAACTTGGAAGCAGGGAGACCATGGAGAGGCTAGTGCAGGAGGAGAGATTACCAAGAACTGAAATTAGGGCGAGGGTCTGGGAATGAATGGAAGGAAGAAGGTAGCAGCAGTCCAAGATAGGCTCAGCAAACGCTGGAGGAGAGGAAAGGCAGGATTTGGGATTGGGACAGTGCTTGCTTTCACTGCTAGTGGAAGGAGGGGGTTCCACATGGCTCTACCCTCACCTCTTCCCCATTACCCCCAGAGAGGTGTTTGAACCAACAGTGGAGAGGGGCGAGCTGGTGGTCAGGTATCGTGTTCGCAAGTCCTACAGTCGCCGGACTACTGAAGCCACCTGTAAGTGAACTCCATGCCTCATGCACTGGTTTGGGGATAATAAGTGTAGAGATTCAGTCTTCTGTATATACGTGAACCAAACGTTTCTGGAGGCCTTGGAATACTAGGATGTTAGGACCACAGACTCTAAGAACAACAGAATTGTAGAATCACACAGAAGAACCTTAGAACAATAGAATCTTAGACACAATAAATCTTGGAAGACAAAACCTCAGAGCCATAAGATATTAGAACAATGTGTTGATCATTTTAATGACAATGATGTTATGATTATGATACTGATAATGACAGCCAACCCTAACATTTCCTATGTGACAGACACTGTTCTAAATGCTCTACACATGTCACTTAATTTAATCCTCAGAGCAATCCAGTGAGGTAGGCATGTTATTCCCCCTTTACTTCACAGATGAGGAAACGGTAGCATAGCGTGGTTAAGACACTTGCTCAAGGCCACACAGCTTGTCAGTTGGAGAGCTGGGATTCTAACCCAGGTAGTTTGGCTCTGAAGTCCATCTTCTTTACTGCCTCTTAGAATTATAGGATATGAGAGAGGTAGAATAGATCTTGGCCTAAAAAATTATAGGCTCAGTACTATAGACTCTTGGGGTCTTGAAAATTATAGAATCTTAAAACTATAGGCTCTCTGTTAGAGGACTGTAGAGTTATGGAGGGTCCCAGCTCCGGAGGAGCTCAGAGGCCACCCAGTCAAATCTCTTCATCTTTCCATTGGGGAAACCTAAATCCAGGAAAAAAGGGGGGGGCAGAGTTAGGTCTCTTCCTAGCACACAGTGAGAAAGCTTCCAGGCCCCAAGGAGATTCCAGAAGGGGCTGGAAAAGCCATTAATTTAAGAGGAGAAGGAAGAGGAAGTGAGCAGGTCACACTCATCTAATGGAATCACATGCAGCACCAATTCTCAAAGTATGATCCAGTCCCTGGGGGGCACTGAGATCTTTGCAGGAAGTCCATAAGGTCAAAACTATTTTCATAATAACATCAAGATATGTTTTGCCCTTTTGCACTCTCACTTTCTCACAGGGATTCCATGGAGTTTTCCAGGAACTTTCTAATGCGTGCTGATGTCATCACTCTGTTGGTTGACAGAATGTGTGCTTATGTATTCTTATTTTTTAAAAATCTATTTGCTTTCATTTTGAATACAGTAAATATCAATAGACAGGATATCTCAAAAATGTATACACACTTTGTTGTTTCTTTTTGTGTGTGTGGTTTTTTTAATCCTTACCCAAGGATATTTTTTTCCATTGATTTTTAGAGAGGGTGGAAGGGAGAGGTAGAGACAGAGAGAAACACTAATGTGAGAGAGACACATCGACCGGTTGCCTCTTGCATGCCCCCGACCAAGGCTGGGAGCCTGTAACCGAGGTACATGCTCTTGACCGAAATGGAACCTAGGACCCTTCAGTCTACAGGCTGACGCTCTAGTCATTGAGCCAAACCAGCTAGAGCTATACACACTTTGAATAATTATTCATTCCAATGGATTAAATCTGAAAAGAAAGAAACATCAATTGAGCTATCAGCAGTTAAAGTGTGTATACATTTTTGGGAGACACTCTCTACATACCCTACGTAAATGAGAGCTCTTTGCAGTACTCCATAATTTTAAGAATGTAAAGGGGTCCTGAGGCCAATAAGTTTGGGAACTCTTCCTATAGAGCAATGAAAATGAATCAATTATAACTACGACAACTGTGTCATAGACATTGGGTTGAGTGAAAGAAGACAGACGCAAAAGAGAATACAATATGTGATTCTATGTTTATAACATCCCCAAACAGAGAAGGCTAATCTATGGTAAGAGGGTCAGGAAAGTGGCCACCCCTGAGAGGGTAGGTCATGGTCTGTTCTTGACCTGGGTGCTAGTTAGACTGCTGGGTTGGTTTGTGAAAATTCATTGAGCTGGTCACTTATGATTTCTACCAATTATATACCTCAATAAAACTTTAATAAATATTATGAACAACTGGTATGGCAGAACACTAACCAATCAATGTGCCCAGTGATGTGAGATTATGTGACAGGCTCCAACCTTTTAGGTGCCCCTCTTGGGGAATATTCAAGGGGTCTAGAGGAGGAGCTAGGGTGGGAGTGGAGGGTGCTCAGGACAGTAGTTATTTTTGAATAAATGCAGAAGTATCTCTGAGCATGTAAATGTCAACCCAGCTCTATGGCTCTGTCATCCCCACTCCCCATGCAGTGAACAGCCTGGGAATAAGCGAAGAGCTGAAGGAGAAGCTGCGGGATGTGATGGTGGACCGGCATAAGGTGGCCCTGGGGAAGACCCTGGGAGAAGGTGAGTCCCCCTGCCCCCCGAACTAAGGAGTCCTTCACTTCCCCACGTCCCCCCAACCACATGAAAATGCAATCCCTATGAGCCCCCCTGAGGTCAGTGTCTCCCTCTGGTCCCCTACAGGAGAGTTTGGAGCTGTGATGGAGGGCCAGCTCAACCAGGATGACTCCATCCTCAAGGTGGCTGTGAAGACAATGAAGAGTGAGTCTGTGCACACATCTGGGACCCCCATCCCCTAGCCTATCCTTCCCAATGCCCCAAAGGAGGCAGAAGAGCAGAAGAGTTAACAGCAAATTGGCTTTACCACAGAACCTCAGTGTTTCCAGGCAGGAAATGAAGTCCATGCTAGGTACTTCAACGGGAGAAATTTAATATGGTGAAATTACTACAAATGTGTAGGAAGGACTGAAGGAACACCTGGGAGCTGTGATGCAACCTGGAGATCAGCAGCAGCAGTAGTCATTCCCACCTCTAGGCCTGAAGGGCAGAGGGAGGAATGAGCAGGATTACCAGAGCCCATGGCCAGGGACGCCTGTCAGGGTTTGGGAATCACAGAGTTAGCAGAAACCTCGTGGGAGCTTGAAACACAAAGGAGACACAGCCACCACCAAGGAAATACTGGAAGCCTTACAAGACCGGGTGAAATACCCTGGCTTCTCCCCTCCTCCTTCCTGCCCACCTGCCAGTCTCCCATTAGTGCTTCCCATTGGCAAAGTCCAACAACAAACCAGTAAGAAAGGGAGCCTGGGAAATGTAGTTTTCAAGGGCCAGCCCTCTGTGATACATAGCAGAGCAAGAAAGATCTGAAATGAGGTACGCCTGGCTTCATCATTTACCAGCAGTGTTATCTCAGGCAAGTGACTATCCCTCTCTGAGCCTCCCATTCTTCATGTGGAAAAAAGGATCATAATAGCCCTACCTCCTAGGACAGTGGTCGGCAAACTGCGGCTCGCGAGCCACATGCGGCTCTTTGGCCCCTTGAGTGTGGCCGCGAAGTTTCAATCGCACTGTACGTGCGCGCCTGCAAGTGATATTTTGTGGAAGAACCACACGCAAGGGGCCGCAGTTTGCCGACCATTGTCCTAGGAGGTTGTGAGAGAAAGCACTTAATGTTAGGTGTGGAACATAATACATGCAGTTGATGTGGACTGTGACTATACTATTTACACCATCAGAGAAGGTGCGAGCCAGTCCAGGGCCACACAGCACAGGAAGTCCACAGCAGGAAATCATTTCCATACAGGGAAAAAGCATAGAGGGTCAGGCTGGAGGTGAGGGAGGAACAATCCTTTCTGAATCACTGGGGCCAAAAGTTTGGGTTATGCAGTCATCACTTAGTCACTCACTCAGTCGTTTTTGAACATCTCCTATGTTCTTGACCTGCGTTTCAACCCCATCTGTGTGGCCTTGGGCAAGTCACTTTGCCTCTGTGAGCCACTTTCCTGAGCTGTAAAACAGGAAAAATCACACAGACCCCACCCTCCACCCCCACTGCTATTGGAAATGTGTTGGGACATAGCCTACTGTGGTGTGTGCACTTGGACCCAGAGCCTGACTTTGAATTCTGCCTATTCCTTCTGCAAGCTGTGTATGCCCTCAGGCAGGTTCCTTAACCATTCTGTGCCTTGGTTTCCCTCCTTTAAAATGGAGAAAATAATAGGAACACCTCAGAGGATTAAATGAGTTAATACATGTAAAATTCTGAGTATAGCACCTGGCACTTAACAGTCATGTTTAATGAAGAAGAAGATGATGATGATAATGAAGGAGAGGAGGAAGAGGGGAAATACTCCCTTCCCTGCTTCCCCTCTCATCCCCTCCTTCTTACCCTCCTTCCTCTCTCCCCCAAGTTGCCATCTGCACAAGGTCGGAGCTGGAGGATTTCCTGAGTGAAGCTGTCTGCATGAAAGAATTTGACCACCCAAATGTCATGAGGCTCATCGGTGAGGGACAGCAGGTTTAGGGGGCCTATAGGCTTTGTGGAAGCAACACTAAAGGGAAGATCCCTCTGGCACTGGGAAGATCAAAGCTCCAAGCTCCCATGTTTCCCCCTCCCTCAGAGTCAGCAAACTGCCCCCTCCTTCTCTCCCTCAGCTTGGAATGTGACCTGTGACCTTTCCCAGAAATAGCTGAGGTCCCCAGGAGGACTGGGGAAACATCCTTGGGAACAGTGTTGGAAATGTCTTCTCTGAAGCTTGGTCCTTGCCACCCCTAAAACAATTTGGAGGCTAGATTTGAGGGAGAGGGACAGACTGAGCTGGGAGAGGGGGTGGCTTCCCTTTCTGTCCAGCTGGAGTGACAGGGTTGCCTGGGGGACTCAGGCGTCTGTTTCCAGGGTTCCGAACTAGATGGCTTCCCTGCACCTGTGGTCATCTTACCTTTCATGAAACATGGAGATCTACACAGCTTCCTTCTCTATTCTCGACTCGGGGACCAGCCAGTGGTGAGGGCATGTAATCATCTACAAGTTTTAATAATCTACAAGTATTAATTGAGCGCCTACCAGGTACCTGGTGCTACTCAGACACTGGGAAGACCATGGTGACCAAGAACTGGCTCTCATGGAACTTTCTGCCAGTGGGGGGACAGCAATAAACAAGTTAACAAATAAATAGGCAAGATGATTTGAGTACTAGGAAGGAATTATAGAGTAAGAGGAATGAGAGGAGGCCAGGCAATTAGTTTGGATAGACAAGGAGGTCTCACTAAGGAGCGGAGCCAGCCGCTGGGAGGTGGAAAGATCTGGGAGGAAGCAATCCTGAAGGGAACATGGGCAAAGGCTTGAGGTGGGAACAAGCATGGCTTGTTTGAAGACTAGAAAGGAGGCCCCTGGAAGGAGTGTATGTCAAGGGCAAGAACAGTAGAAGATTAAGTCACAGAGGAAGGCAGAATGGGATTATATAGGGCCTTGTTAGAAAGGGTTAGATTTAATTCTTGTAGCCATGGAAAACCATTGCAGGGCAGAGCTGGGCACACACAGGAAGGAAGGAGGGATGGGTCTCAGGAACTCAACTGACCTCTCTCCTGCCCTGGTCCCCTAGTTCCTGCCCACTCAGATGCTGGTGAAGTTTATGGCAGACATTGCCAGTGGCATGGAGTATTTGAGTACCAAGAGATTCATACATCGGGACCTGGCCGCCAGGAACTGCATGTGAGTGTTGAGTCTTCCAGGGACACCCTAAACCCTATAGGGAGCTCCTTTCCTCCTTCTCAGGATGAAAGAAGGGGCTAGACACACACACACACACACACACACACACACACACACACACACACACCCTTTGCACAGGTCAGAATTCAGGACTGGGATAGAGAGGTCAGCAAGAGGATTGGGGAAGGCTTCCTAGAGGTGATGGGCCATGAACTGAAATCTTAAAGGAGCATTTGAATGTGGAGAGAGAAGAGGCAAGAGGGTGGGCTCAGTGGGCAGCATGAGTGAGCAAAGGGGCAGAGGTGACCGATGAGGGTGACATTTAAGCCTCATTTCTGTCCCTCTCTATGCTGAGTGTCTTGTCTGGGGCTGCCCTTGGGGAGGGGCCAAATTGGATAAGGAGACTAGACCCCTCCCCCCATTAATGGATGTGTGTGTGTGTGTGTGTGTGTGTGTGTGTGTGTGTAAATACAGGCTTAGAATATTAGTCTCATTACAATGTTGGACTCATAGAAATTGGAGCTGAAGAATCAGAGTATCTGTTATAAAATGTGTAAATGTTCACAACTCTCAGAAATATAGAAAATATTTTATTCCCCCCAACACTTTTTATTTTGAAAAAATTTCAATCCTACAGAAAAGTTGAAAGACTTGTATAATGAACAACCATATACCCTCCTTGTTGAGATTTTGCCATTTTCCTCTATTCTCTTTTTCCTCTCTCCCCTCAACCATTTGAAAGTAAGTTGCCAAGATGGTGACCCTTCACCCTAAATCTTCAGTAGGTATTTTCTAAGAATAAGGAATTATGTCTAAGTAAAAACAGTAAATTCTGTTATCACATCTAAGAAGATTATCAATAATTGTGTACATAATCTAATATCCAATCCATATTCAAATTCTTCCAATTGTCTTCCGAAATATCTTTAGGGCTATTTTTCTCTCTAAAACAGGACCTATTCAAGGTTCCCACATTGCATTTGATTGTTATGCCCCTATAGTCTCTCTTATTTATTTATTTTTATTTTTATTTTTAATTTATTGTTTCTCAATATCAACTTTTTCATTTTTATTTTAAATATATTTTTATTGATTTCAGAGAGTAAGAGAGAGGGAGATAGAAACATCAACAATGAGAGAGAATCATTGATCAGCTGCCTCCTGCACACCCCCTACTGGGAATTGAGCCCACACCCAGGCAAGTGCCCTTGACTGGAATTGAACCCAGGGCCTCTCTGGAGAGCCAAGGTGGGAAAGATACTTCTCAAAATACAAATACATTAATATAGAAGGAACCAGGACAGTTTTAAGGGCATTCATATTCCCAAACCTTCCCCACCTTCTCCCCAGCTCAGGGCCCTAGACTCATAGAGACTGACCCTCCATCCCCAAAAGAAAATCTGGAAAATCTTCTCCTTTCCCACAGGTGAAGGGCTTAAGCAGGGCCTCGTCTCAGCTGGCTTCAGCCTGAGCCATGCAGTCTTCCAAAGTATTACCCTGGTCATTGTCGTGTAATAGCATAACTTCCTTAATGTCTTTCAGTTCAAAGACCATTTCCTTGAATTTGCTAATTAATTGAAGGAACTCCATCATATTGTCCTCTGAATACTGATGTATTTCCAGAGCCTCTTCCACTAAAAGAGGGTCGAAGCCCTTCCCACAGAGCTGTCTGTATACAAAGATAGTCAAGAATCTGCTCAGATTTCTCTCCTTTCCTCCTCTTCATGGCTCTCAGGACATACTCATATGAGTAGCCCAGGTTGACCACTGTCTCCATGCACTACTGCTCACAGGGGACAGCGTCTGCAGGTCAGAATAAGACTGGGGACAGCTGGGAGTGTTGGGCACTTGTGACATTGAGAGATTAGGAGGTGTGACCATGGGACTTATATTTGGAGGTGACGATTCTTCTGTACACACAGACAAGACAGAGAGGGAAGGCATCTGGGAAATCATATCGGAAAGGGTCAGGTTTGGTACCTCTGTGCCACTGTCTAAGTTCAAAGCTGAAAGCCCAAGGTTTTGAGGCCCATTGAGCTCACTGGCACTGCTTTGGGTGGAAGGTTTTAGGGAATTCTAGAACGTGCCATTTCGGAGGCAGAATGTGTTAGGAAAGTGCTTGCTAGTTTGGCTGTCTTTTGATTGCTGTCATCAGAGTTAAGTTTGGGGAAGGACAGGGATTTGATATTGCTTATTGCAGGAATGGGGGGGAGGGACACTTTGGAAGACAGCAACATCTTTTCACAGTTGCCCAACTGTGGTAAGGTCATAAAGCCATTGGGTTTATGAAGAAGCTTGAAATCTAGTGTTGCCTGCTCCAGGGATGCCTGTAATACAGACCCAGAGCCTCCTCTAGGCAAGTTACTGTCCAATAACAGCCAGTGGTTCCTACCAGAATGTTTCTCAGCTCTTCCTTCTCATCAATAATTTTTAACTTGAGATTATCAAATGGGCCTTCTTCATACTCAAAGTCAAGAGGATTGAAATCTGCCTTTGTGTGGGGTGAGCTGAGAACTTTCTGTTTCGTGGCACTGCTGCTGACCCAAGTAGGGATGAGGATGCTGCTGTGCTGAAGGTGGCAAGGATGGGGTTAATAAGAAGTGGCACCATGGCTGTGCTGTGAATCTTGGGGAGGCTCATTTTGATATCTCCTTCGGAACCACTCTTAGAATTCACTTTAGCTTCTGCTTCCTCAACCTTACCCTCTGCTTCCCGCTGGGCTTCTTGGATTTTCTTAATATCTTCAGCCCACTCAATGGCTTCATTTTCCAAGGAGAAGTCATGCTGTACTTCTCTGACAACCTGCAATCAGGCAAGGAGAAGCCAATTGGTAGACCAACTTTAGCTGGTGTTTTGAATTTGTCTCCGATCTTAAATGGGACATCATCAAAGCAACTGAAAGTCCCATGAAAATCTGCACTCAACTTAGAAACCATTTAGAACCTGAACGCCACTGCCACCGCAGCTGTCCCAGAAGCCGAACGGTGCTGGCACCACTGCCAACTGCCTAGGTTTGGTCCCCACTGAGCTCCTGATGGCCCCTCGGGAGAGCAAACACCACCACCTTCAACTCTGTTGCCCCAGGGCTAGGTCATCACCACAGCCACAGCCAGTACTACAGTCACCATCTTGAAGTCCTCCTCCCCTCACTGCTCTGCTGTCCCTTATCCTTATATGTCACACAAATGAGACCATGCAGTTTGTACTCCTTGGTGTCTGGCTTCTTTCACTCAGCATGATGTTTTTGAGATTGGTCCGTGTGTGTGTGTGTGTGTGTGTGTGTGTGTGTGTGTGTGTTTCAGTGGTTTGTTCTTTTTTTTGTTGTTTTCTGTATAATATTCCTTGTATGGGTGTCCCATAATATTCTGTTTCTTTAATCTGTGCGCTGATTCCATGGGTGTGTTTGTGAAAATTCAGATTTGTGCATATATATTATACATCAAGAAAACAGTTTTGTTTTGTTTTGTTTTCAAAACAGATAATCAAACTCGAGGAGCTTAGGAAGGACTTTAGAATCTGGCAAAAAGCCAGAGCTGGGAAGGCCCTCAGTAGCTTTTTGTCCCGCCCTCATTTTATGGAGGAAACAAGAAGTAACACAGTTCCTTCCAAATCTGGGGCAAGGAGGAGAGACAGGCCCGAATCCCAAGCAGGACAGCCAGGGTGAAGATAGAGATGTGTCTGAGAGTGAGAGTAGGCTTCCTGGTGGAGAACTCATGTCATGACACTGTTCCTCTCCCCAATCCTGGCAGGCTGAATGAGAACATGTCCGTGTGTGTGGCAGACTTTGGGCTCTCCAAAAAGATCTACAATGGGGACTACTACCGCCAGGGACGTATTGCCAAGATGCCAGTCAAGTGGATTGCCATTGAGAGCCTGGCTGACCGCGTCTACACCAGCAAGAGTGATGTGGTATGTGCACCTCTGATAGGAGTGGGTAACAACAGGAGGGTGTGGCCTCATCATCTCACACTGTCCCCATCTCACAGGGACCTGTCCACTTGGGCTACTCATGTCTGGGTTATGGTGAGCAGTGTTGTGGACATGCGAGGGATGTGGACAGGTCCATGTGTGCATGGTGGCCAGTTCTACGTAGGACATATAGACAGTTAAGGTTATAAGAGGTGGTGGTAAGTATGTATACATGTATATAGGCAGGCTGTGGAGGGTGACACATGAGAGTTTGTGTCCATTAAGTGTATAAATGTGTGCATGGGTGAACATATCTGTGTGCACAAAAGTTACCTCTATGAGGGTGTACCTGTGCCAAAGTGGTTCTGTGAATAGCTGTGATGCACCCACAAAGATAGCTATGTGCACATGTGTACGTAAATGTGTGTTCAGGGGTGTCTTTGTGCAGGAGAAACACTCTAATTTTCTCCCCTCTGCCCTCCACAGTGGTCCTTCGGGGTGACAATGTGGGAAATTGCCACTCGGGGCCAAACCCCATATCCAGGAGTGGAGAACAGCGAGATTTACGACTACCTGCGTCAGGGAAACCGCCTGAAGCAGCCTGTGGACTGTCTGGATGGACTGTGAGGACCCTTAGGACCCCCTCCCCCATCTCCACTTAATCCCAGATTTCACTCCAAAACATATCCAGGACCCTATAAAACCTGTACAGAATCCCTCAGACTGTTGAGGAGGCCACCTGTCCTCCTCACCACTGCTCCACAGCGGTGTTAATTAGCAAAAGGTGCCCTTTCCTCCTTTGCCTAGTGCATGGAGTGCAGGCTGGATCAGCCTCCTCAGCCAGTTATCCCTGAGCAGTGAATAACTACACAATCTTACCTGGGGGCTCTGTCTGTGAGACTCCCCCCCTCTCAAAGAATTCTAATCGATCCCAGACTCCTAAGCACCCACGCTTTCACCAGATGCTCTTCAATCCCCAGGACCCTCTGCAAAATCCTTCAGGTTGTTATTTTGAGCTTCCCCAGACCCTCAATTCTCCTCTAAGATGTTCTCGGGCTTCTTTAGGACGGTGCTTATCAAACTTCGTCACCTGTTGACACCCAGAGAGCAGAACATTTATCCAGCATGATGTTGCTGGGCCAGGAGAGGATAGCCTGGGGCTGCAGACTCCCCAGGTCCTCCTTGCGTGTCCAGAAGCTGAAGGGAGCAAGAATAATAGCTAGTGTTTCTATAGAACTTAATCAAAGGCACTGTTTTAAGCACTTTGCATATATTAACTCATTTGGTCCTTAAAATGGCCACATGAAGTATTATTATTCCTATTTGCAGGAGAAGAAACTGGGGCCCAGAGATGGTAAATCACTTGCCAAAGGCTGCATAGCTAGTGTATTAGTTACCCATACCCCCAAATCCAGTAGCTCAAAATAAGAAGCATTTATTACCTTCAGTTTCTGAAGGTCAAAGTCTGAGAACAGCTTGGCAGGGTGATCCTGAATTAAGATTTCTAATGACGCTACAGCCAAGATTCAGGGTGATTCTGAGTCAGGGTTTCTAATGAGGTTGCTGTCAAGATGAGGTTGCAGCCATCTGATGATTGGGACCTGAAGATTGTTTTCAAGGCAGCTCAATCATATGGCTATGGCAGGAGGCCTTAGTTCTTTCCTATGAAGACCCTGCCATAGTGCTGCTTGAGCTTCCTCACAACATGGTGGCTGGCCTCACCCAGATGAGCATCCTATGGGAAAGAGCAAGGAGGAAACCACAGTGCCTTTTACAGGCTAGTCTCAGAAGTCACACACAACATCACGGCTGTAAGTCAGAATCAAGTCAAGAAATCCAGTCCACATTGAAGGGGAGGGAAATTAGGTTCTACCTTTTGGAAAAAAAGAATGTCAAAGAATTTGAACACATATTTTAAATCAACACATCTTGCAAGTCTTTGATGCCAGTCTGTTCTGGGGAGCCACACTGGAAAGCTCTGCTGTAGCAAGCTATCACTAGAATACCATCCCATACGTAGAGGGGTTTTCCAATACCCTTTCCAGCTCCCAAGTGTCCCAGAGATCCTTCAGAAACTCTTGAGAAGTCTTCAGTCCCCATAGATGCCCCCAACTGTAATAGTTCCCTCCAGCCCCATGAAATGTCCTTGGTCCCCTGAATGTCCTCAATTTCCCCCTAACTCTCAGAATGTTCCCCTTCTAAGTCCCTGCTCAGCCTCTCACCCCTCACTCTGCTGTCCTAGGTATGCCCTGATGTCCCAGTGCTGGGAGCTAAACCCCCAGGACCGGCCAAGTTTTTCACAGCTACGGGAAGATCTGGAGAACACACTAAAGACCCTGCCACCTGCCCAGGAGCCTGATGAAATCCTCTATGTCAACATGGATGAGGGTGGGAGTCATGCTGAACCACTTGGAGCTGCTGGAGGAGCTGACCCCCCAACCCAGCCTGATCCTAAGGATTCCTGCAGCTGTCTCACCGCAGCTGAGGTCCATCCTGCTGGGCGCTATGTCCTCTGCCCTTCTACAGCCCCTGGCCCCACCCTACCTGCTGACAGGGGCTCCCCAGCACCACCCGGGCAGGAGGATGGAGCCTGAGACAACCCTCTGCCTGGGACTTCCTCTCAGGACCCAAGCTAGGCACTGCCACCTACGTTCCCATTCCAGACCTTAACCCCAAATGCAGCTCTCTCTTCCGACCAATTCCACTTCCATCTCACACAAATCCTCTCGCTTTCTACATCTTAGTGTCCCGTGTGTAAAAGGAAGGGGTTGGACTGCAATCCCTAAGCATCCTCCTAAGTCTAACATTCCAAGATTTTGGATTCTAAGGTTTAAAGAGCCTTAGGTTTGAAAGAAGTTATGAGTCTTAGGTTCTAAGGACCTGAAATTCCAAATTATCTAATTTTAAAGTGCTAAGGTTCTAGACATGAAAGCTCTAAAGTCTATATTTGAAAGTTCTGAGATCCTACGGCCCTAGATTTTTCTGTTTTTAAAATTCTTGATAAAATCTGTAAGTTTTGGGCTTCTAAAGTTCTGATTCTAGGCATAGAACTAAGACTCAATGATGCTAGATTTCATTTTCCTTAAGGTATAAGACTCTAGGTTCTAGAATTCTATAATTCTAGACATAGAGGTTTTAAGGCTTAATGTTCTAAAATTTGATGTTCTAAGCCTCTTAAGAGTATAAATCCCTTGGCTAACTCTAGACTCTAGCAGTGGTTCTCAATCTTCCTAATGCCGCAACCCTTTAATATAGTTCCTCATGTTGTGGTGACCCCCAACCATAAAACTATTTTCGTTGCTACTTCATAACTGTCATTTTGCTACTTTTATGACTCATAATGTAAATATCTGATATGCAGGATGTATTGTCATTGTTCACGATCCGCAGGTTGAGAACCGCTGCGTCTAGAGCATAAGGGCTTCAAGATTTTATCCTTTCAAGTTCTAAGATTCTAATGATGATGCCCTAGCTGGTTTGGGTCAGTGGATAGAGCATCGGCCTGCGGACTGAAGGGTCGGTCCCAGGTTCAATTCCGGTCAAGGGCACATGCCGGGGTTGCAGGCTCAATCCCCAGTGTGGGGCATGCAGGAGGCAGCCGATTAATGATTCACTTATCATTGATGTTTCTATCTCTCCCTCTCCCTTCCTCTCTGAAATTAAATTTTTTTAAAAATTTAAAAAAAAGATTCTAATGATGGTCAATTAGAGTTTCTAAGGCTTTATGATCCTTGAAGCTCTTGTTATGAGATTCTGGATCCTAAAGATCTAAGATTCTAAATTCTGCAATTCAAAAGTTCTAAGAATCTACAAATGGAGGTTCTAAAGTCTAATGTTCTCAGATGTGATGTTCTAAGACTTAGTCTAAGAACCTAGATTCTCTGTGTCTAAGATTCAGGATCATATGTTTCAAGGTCCTAGATTATTAAAATCTAAGATTTTAATATTAAGTTCTGTATTCAAGGCACTCTAGATTCTATTGGTCCAAGATTCTGGGTCCTTAGCATCAAAGGTATAAGACTCTACAGTTAGTTGTGATTAACTAGATACCAACGTTCTAATAATTTCTAATGTTGGACACCTTTAGGCTCTATGTTGCATTCTGCCTTTCTAGGATTTTAGTTAAGGGTCCAAGAATCCATGATTCTAAATCTTAAGATTCTAGGCACTGCAGTTCTAAAATTCAAATGTAAGGTTTTAAAGGTCTACAGGTCTTGAACTCCAAGGTTCCAAGGTTCTAACTTTATAGTATTCTATGTGACCCTCCCGAGCCACCTCTGCTTCCTCCTCCCCTCATGTGGGGTTTACCCCCCCCCCCTCAAGCCTGTGCAATGCATTAAGGATGCCTCCTTTCACCAGGGGACAATCTTCCTCCTTTTGGGCCATGCTGCCCGCACCCTGAGCCAGTCCCTCATATCCCCCTGTACAGAGTGTGGACTCTGACACTTCCAAAGGGGCTTATATCACATAAAACTTTGTAACCACACTTCTATCTCTTGTCTCTGTCTACAATCATGTGATCTCCCTGGAACTCAGTTTCCCCGTCATAAAAAGAAGGGTTTGATGGGATCCAGGAGTTCTCCCCTTTTAAAGAAGGTAGAAATGAACATGCACACAGACAAAAAGTCACACAAAGAAAAGCAGACTCTTCAAAACCCCTACTGAGGAATAGGCACATAAATACAGGGTCACATAGAGGCACCCATTAATGGGCATACACCTGGTCACAAACACAGAGATACTGAAATTCAGACACATAGAGCAACAGAGACAAAATTATAGACACAAACAAACATGATGCACAGGCAGATACTCACCAACATTAGGAAGAAACTAAAGTAACACAGAGTACAGCTACACAGAGACATAGAGTACAACAGGTACTCACAGACCCAAACATTCAGATTCACATAGCAACACAGGCACAGGATATCGCCAATAATCTCCAGCCCACAAAGGAACTCCCGCCGAGACAAGCCCACACTGTTTTGCATGCAGGGCGGACACAAGTTCCTGAGTGTGTCCCACCGCAAATGGAGGAGCCCTTGGCAGCGCCCGGACGCCCCCCGGTGGCAGCTCCTGGACAGTGACAACAGTTCAATCTGGGCCGCAAACTTTTTTTAGGATAAATCTGTGGGAAGCTGGGAGGAGAGAGGAAGTCAGATGTTACATTGGCCAGGGGCGGGGTGTCTGGATTGGAACCACCGGGCCCACGTGAGTGTCTGTCCGGCTTCTGAGTGGGTGCTGTGTGTCTAGGTTGCTGTAGTGTAAACTTGTGTTGTAATATACCCCGTGCCTTTATCATTTGGCGCCTCCTGCCGGTGCAGATCTTAGTGGGCATATCTACACTGCAGTTTGGTGTATTGTCCCTTGAATTGATACATGTGATCTGATCTCAACGTCACATGTTTATCTTTGCTGTGTGTGCCTTTGTCTACATAGAGGTTTTGTGTGGCTTTTGTGGGTTTAAGGTAAGGCTCAGTGGGCAGCCGGCGTTTACATGGGTATCTCAGTTGTATATCTTACAGAAGTTTTGTGTCCGTTCAGTTCCAGGCGACAGGTGGTGCAGGGTTAGATACTGTGAAACTAGCGCTCATATTTAGCTCAAACATACAGGCTTAGCTACCACCGACCTGTGTGTTTGAGCTTGTCAGTACAGACGCCAAACAGCCAGATATACTGAACAGCAATTTAAAGGATTTGGGGTAGAGACCCGAGAACTTCTGGAGGCTTTTCGGAGGGAGGGGGCGGCGGAGGGAGGCTCTATGGTCGCAGGCAGAGCACCCATCGGAATACCAATCATAGAGGAAGATGGCAGCGAAGCTATAATCGTGGCAGGAGGCGCCCTGAGATTTACTTTCAAGGGGAGAGGGTGCGATTTCCTTTACAACTTTTCTCACGCTCTTAGTCTAGCCTCTATTATCAAACCTTCAGGACTCACTGAAGTCAACTAGTATTTCCAGATCAAGAATAACTTATCTAGCCCAGCCGGAGTGACTCAGTGGGTGAGCATCTACCTATGAACCAGGAACTCATGGTTGGGTTCCCGCTCAGGGCACATGCCCGTGTTGCCCCCTCGAGCCCGTGTGGATCGTGCAGGAAGCGGCCGATCAATGATTCTCTTTCATCGTTGATGTTTCTTCCTCTCCCTTCCTCTCTGAAATCAATAAAAGCATTTAAAAAAAAAAAAGAATAACTTATTTACTTAATCACTAGCTCAAGTACCTCCCTCCACAGTGAAATTTGTGAGGCTATCCGCTGAAGAATAGCCAATCTGGTTAGTTTTTCCTAAAGCGACCCAACTGTACGAGCTTTGGTGAGATAAGACAATAATTGCGATTGGTGGACAGATTGTTTTGAAACCGCCCTAACGGCAAGGGGCGGGTTCCTCGTGAACTCATCTCTTTCCGGTTTCTTAAAGGCAATAGTGAAAGAGGGGGGTGTCTGTTGACCCTCCACTTCATTGGTTCTAGTGAGTTTACCCGCTTGGACTCCTCTAGGGGCGGGAGATTTAGACCAATCAGGATATGTGTTACAGAGACAACAGTTTAATGCTGGGGCTGTGCAGGAAAGGCTGTGAGGTGCGTTCATTCTGAGATCTCATCGCTGATTGGCCTAAATCCTTACTCCCTTTACCTCATTCGACCCTACGGGAGCGAGTGCAGGGTCGTTACCCAATCACCGTGCGCACCGCCTCCCGCCTCTTCCCGCCCTCCACTGGGGCCGCTGAATCGACGTAGGCCAACGCTTCCTCCCCGGCAGCTCCTGCGCTCTTTCATCGACCAGCTTTTGAAAGGCACTTTCTGATTGGCCGAGTCTCGGGCCCGCGCCCGTTGCTCCCAATGCGGTGGCCAATTGGCACCCGCGTTGCACAGCATGGAGCCAGGGAGGAGGGGGAGGTGGCGGCGGCCATTTTGAGTTGCCGCCGCCATTGGAGTGAGCCCCCCCCTTTCCCCCTCGCCGCCTGACAGTAAAGGTTTAAGGGGGACAGGGCCCTGGGAGGCCGGGCCGGGCTCGGGGGCCACCCCGGGGGCCCGGGCCATGGATGTGCGCCGTCTGAAGGTGAACGAACTTCGGGAGGAGCTGCAGCCGCGGCCT